AGTTATCATCAAAAAATATGGGGATATATTGATTTTGTCATGGGTTTACTTACTGAGATAGAGATTGTCATTTGAACAATTTACAGTATTTGATTTTTAGAATGAGCTTAAGCTCATTTAACATTCATTCGAAAACTTTTCAGTGTCTAATGTCTGATATACTTATAATTTGTTCAATAAATTATCTGTATGATTGACTACAGTTTAAGTCTCAACTTTATATTAGACAAAGACCTAGAGACTAGACTATTCACAAGACTATAGTCCTAACTATGGACCAGAATATAGATTCAAGTATTGTCTCCACTAGAAAATAGATTCCAGTTTTAACCATAAACTAGATTATAAAAAACATTATAATCTACAGTCAATAGTCTAAACTCAAATTAGATCGATTCTGGATTGTGTATCCTGAGTATTTAGCTCGACTACACTTTAGACTATAGTATGCACTACGGAATAGACTTTAGTCTGAACTATAGATTAAATTATGCCAAAACGGAGTCTCTCTTGATTGTTCGTGAACTAACATGATAACCACAGTCTGAACTATATATTAGATTATAGTTAGGACTATAGATTAGACTATAATATATACAGTCAATAGTCTAAACTCAAATTAGTTCGATTCTGGATTGTGTATCCTGACTATTTAGCTACATTTTAGACTATAGTATGCACTACGGAATAGACTTTAGTCTGAACTATAGATTAAATTATGCCAAAACGGAGTCCTTCCGACTCTACTTGATTGTTCGTGAACTAACATGACAACCACAGTCTGAACTATATATTACATTATAGTTAGGACTATAGATTAGACTATAATCTATACACTACATATTTAACTATAGTTTAATCTTTAGCCTGTGATATTAAGAATGGACTATAGATTTTTGACTATATTAGCGATTAGGATATATTCTGAACTATAGATTAGTCTCAAGTCCAGACTATGGTTTAAACTCTATTATAGAATATAGTTTAGATTCTAGTTTGGACTATAGATAAGACTATTATATGGGCTGAATAATCGACTATATATTAGATTATAAATTAGAATAAAGCAAGCACTATAGATTAGACTATAGACTGGACAACTACATATGAGACAATAGTCTGGTATATATATTAGACTATATCTCAACTACAAATTAGGCTATAAGCTGGACCATAAATTAGATTATAGTCTGGATGGATTGGACGCAATATAGTTAAAATAGATCATAGATTAGACTAGACTATAATTTGGACTAAAGATTAGACTATAGTTTAAATCATAGAGTAGATCATAGTTTGCACTATACAGTAGACCATAGTCTTTATATTAGACTTTTTCTGGGCTATAGATAAAACTATAATCTGGACTAAAGTCTGAGCTATAGAGTATAATATAATCTAAACTAAATATTAGACTATAATCTGGGTTTGAGAGTATACCATAGATTAGACTACTTCATATTAGCCTATAGTCTGGTATATACATTAGACTATATCTCAACTACAAATTAGGCTAAAATCTAGACCATAGAATAGATTATAGTCTGGACTATATATTAGACTATAGTTTAAGCTTTAAATAAAGCTACACTCAGGACTATAGTCTAGGTTAGACAGTGACCAATACTGTAGATTATACCATTACTGTTCTATAGATTAAACTACAGTTTCGACTATAGATTAGACTATAGTCTGGACTATAGATTGGACCATATATAGTTAAATTAGATTATAGATTAGACTATACTCGATTTTAGTATGACCTACAGTTTTGACTATAGATTAGATCATTGAGAAACCTATAGCCTGTTCTATAGATTAGACTATAGTCTGATCTTTACATTAGACTTTGTCTAAGCTATAGATTAAACTACAATCAGAAACACAACAATCTCAACTAAATATTAGACTATAGTCTGGGTTTGATAGTATACCATAGTCTAGAATAGACTATGGTCTATGTATACAACTATAGTCCAGGTTAGACTGTAGATTAGACTATAGTCTGTACTATAGATTTGACAACAGTTTTGTCTATAGATTAGACTGTAGTCTTGACTTTAGATAATAGTTTAATGTGGGATATAGTTTAATCTATTTTATTTTTTTGCTCTGCTTTATAAGGATAACATTCGTGGGATATAACCTTGTATCTACGAATTAGAGTCAACCATGAAGTTATGCATTAGTTGAAAGTACTTTTACGGATGTACGATGATTACTTGTCGAACTGCTCATATCATATTAATATTCTATAATGGTGATGCTGAGATTACCCCGAATCTTTTTTGTTCGTTTGGCAAACATTTAGTTTATGAATAAAAATACTATATACTGCATTATACATCCACATAAATATGTTGGTCATCTATTTTTCTGGATCATTGTCCCTCATTATTTTTCTTTACCGGCCTTTTCTATGTTGATTATATATTATGTTTAAGTTTGGGATATCTAGGATAGAAAAATAATACTTGTTTATTAGATAATATTTAAATATGAGTATTGGGAGTTAAAATTCTATAAAAATAGCTATATTTAACCACAGTTTTAACACAAACTTGGCAAATTGAAATTGTATAAATTTTGTCCAGACAACAAAATCATAAATAAATAACTAAACACTGAAACCAATTTAAACAAAAAGTCAAAAAACAACAAAAATAATAATTTTTGGTCATGACACTCTTTACAAAGGATAAACTTTTTTCTCAATTATAGACTTGCTGTTTTAATAAATCATCAGGTTTGGTGAGCACCTTTTTTTGAAGTCATCTATAGATTGTAGGATAATTATAAATGTCCTCTAGTATTTATGTGAGTTAGAGTGGTAGAAAATAGTTTTTGGCAGTAAAAACTATTAAAATAAATGAAATAATGATGGTAAACAATTTTGTGTTGAAAATTACATTTTATTATAATTTTACGCTTCAAGCGGTTTGTTTTGTTTTTTTTTTGTTTTCGGAAATGATCAAAAGTTGTTTTTGGCATATTTTATATAAGTGGATGTTTATCTAATTTTTCATGTAGTTGGCAGTAAATGGATTTCATTGTTTAATATTACCACAAAAAATGTATACAATAGACCGACTCACAGAAAAAATGTATCTCAAAAAATTACTTTGTTTTGTCATACTATGTTTCCCAATATATTTATACCCCACACCACCATAGTGGGGAGGGTATTATACGTTTGTGCTGATGTTTGTAATGCACAAAAATATTGGTCCTACACCCACCATAAAGTATACCGATTGACTCGGAATCACTTTCTAAGTCGATTAAGTCTGCCCGGCGCAAGGTACTGGTTGCAATTTTCAAGATATTTTGATGAAATTTAAATTATACGTGTTTTTTTCCCAACGACGAAGCCTATTGAAAATGGTTGAAATGGGTCCATTATTTCACCTAGTCCCCATACAACCCTACCCCCCGAAAAGGGCTTTTGAGTTCATAATTATGTTAAATATTGTCGTATCTATACAAAAACCGGCAAAACTTAGTTCTATATACGTCTTAATAATACTACCGATTTTCATAATTATCGGACTTTATTTGACCCTAGCCCCCATACAATGTCCCCTTCAGAAAATGACTTGAAGATCAATAATTCACTAATAAACACTAGTATCACGATGAAATCCAGCATACATAATTCTAATGTAAACCTTAAGCCCAAAATTCCCAAAATTTATAAGGATAGGCCAATATTTACCTTTGCCCCCATATTACCCCTCTTTTAGAAAATCACTTTATTCAACAAATTGCTAAAATATTTCGGAATTAAGGTAAACAACTTAAATGCTTTATTATTAAAAATAATCCATATTTTTAACATACTCAGTGGTGTAGGGTATCATATAGTCGGCCGTGCCCGACTATACTTTCCTACTTGTTTAGTTGTTGCAATGACCGCTTGTAAGCTGGACTGTTATCGAAAAAATATCCGAATTTATAAGTCCAAAAGGAAATTACACGCAATATTTTGAACACATTGGAAGGTTATACACAAACATCGAACGTGCCCGATTGTATACCAGGAACTTTTAAACACTAATCCTAGATAGAATGTCAGTAGAGCGAAGAAATACCGTCTAACTAATCACAACTCTAGCTTTTAGGCCGTCAGAAAGCAATTTGGGTGATATCAGGTGATATTTGGGATTAGTTCGTAACGAAAAAGTGAATGTACTTGATTTAAAGACATGGAAACTAGAGGTAGTTAACCTAAAGAACGCAAAACCATTCAATACAACGAGAGCTTAATTAAAAATATTAGCGAGATAATCCCATAAAGAGTCATGAAACGGTAGGAAGAACCACAAAGATCCTATGGGGTGACCATAACTTGAGCAGTACGAGAAGCATCTCCAAAATGTGGAAATCTGAAGTTAGTAGGATAGTACATACATATTTTGAGTGGACACACAGGATTACGGGCACAACTACATATATAAAATTGAGGGTGTGGATTTAGACGAACGTAGAGCAAGTACAGAGGACAATGAAGCTCTCGATTAGGCCATGTCCGTCTTACTGTCTGTATCATGTTTGCCTGCCTGTCTGTTTGTCTGTCTGTCTGTCTGTCTGTCCGTCAGTCCGTCTGTCTGTTGAATTCAAATTTCTAAAGACCCCAGATATCTTCGGGATCCAAATTTTCAATAATTCTTTCGAGAAGTTTCCTATATAAAATCAGCAAAATCCGTCCATAAATAACAGAGATATAAGCAAAAATCCAAAACAACCTCTGATAAAAAACCAACAACAAACATACAACATGTGTGTTGGTTTCATTGTTCTGTGTGTATTTTGTTTCGTTTAGTGTTCTTGTAGTTGTTGTTTGTTTTTCTTTGTGTTTAGTTTAATTCTGCTCCGCTTTATACAGTAAAATTCAATAGAACTTAATAACTGTAGAGAGCTTTAATAATAACTAATAGTAATAATTCTCATTTAGTTTACAATATTTGACATATTTTTATGTTTTCTTCAATTTCAGTTTAATTTACAAAAGCATGAAGATCAATGAAAAAATGGCGACTCCGATAGAGGAAAAAGTTGATCAAAATTTAAAGGTAAGTAAAATTATATTCAGTTAAACATTTCTTTTATATTAAAACACTTATGTTAGGTTAATCAAAATATTACTTTAAAAAATGGCTCATAAAAGTTAAAATAAAATTATTTTTCGTAAGCTGACTTGAGATGAATGAAACTAAAGTATTTAGTTATCTGTAGTGCTCCGATTTGCATTGGTAAAGGATCAAGTATGATTTACATTGCATCCAAATAAATTACCATATTGTGGGCGGTCCTCAAGACACTCTACTGTATTGAAATTATTGATCAATTTTAATCAGTTTTAATTAAATTATCTCTTGTGAACTATAGGGTTTAATGAGAAGCAGTATGTTTCATCAATTAATATTACAATACAAAACCAATCAGTTTCATTTTGGTTTCTGGGGTTTGTATGAATATTTATTTATCATTGCATTAAATTCCTTCGCATATTAAATTACAAATGTACATTATGTTGGTCTGTTAATTTGCTGATGTATATAAGAATTTCAATAATTTATTGTTTATTTGGTAGTTTTTATCTTAAATGACACTTAAGGACTATTTAAATATGAAGCAAAATTGCACTTGTTTCAGCTGAACAAAAATCCTTAATTCTTTTAACAAATTGCAGAGCAAACTGTACAAAATTTGTGACGTAATATACATATATATTTTATTTTGACACCATCCTATTAAACATTCTTATTAATTAAACCCAACTTTCTCTTCATAACAAACAATACAAAAATTTCAGCAATTTGCTTGGCTCCCAGATGCATACATTATTTTTGTCTTTTACAAACATTATTGTATCAATATCAATTTGTTACTGGTTTTAATTTCAAGATATGTATGTATGTATGTCCACATACATATTACAAATGTGTTAATAATTAATACTGGAAAGACTGTTGTTTTATTATAATTATTTTACACATTTATCACTTATTATTATTTTAACATACTATATTTATAATGAATGTCCGTTCAATCATTATGCACTATATGAAAATTATATGAAAATTAATTTAAATAAATTATAAATAAAAAATTTTGGTATTTCTTTTATAGATTCGCACTGGCATGGTAAATGTCAGCGATGGCAAATCGAAACCCGAACCACTTAGACTGAATTTAACCATGGAACTGGTGACACTACAAAGATTAGAAATTGTTACGCCCACAAATCCACAGAATGGTCCGCCAAGTGAATCAAAAGTAAGTAAATAAGACTTGATTATAGACTGGATTAAAGACTAGCCTATAGACTAGAATATAGACTGGAATAAGACCAGACTATAACTATAATATAGACTAGATTACAGAATAGATTATAAACTACACTATTTACTAGACTATAGAGTAGACTATAGACTAGAACATAGACCAGACTATAGAATAGAGTATAGACTAGACTATAGACTAGACTATAGACTAGACTATAGACTAGACTATAGACTAGACTATAGACTAGACTATAGACTAGACTATAGACTAGACTATAGACTAGACTATAGACTAGACTATAGACTAGACTATAGACTAGACTATAGACTAGACTATAGACTAGACTATAGACTAGACTATAGACTAGACTATAGACTAGACTATAGACTAGACTATAGACTAGACTATAGACTAGACTATAGACTAGACTATAGACTAGACTATAGACTAGACTATAGACTAGACTATAGACTAGACTATAGACTAGACTATAGACTATACTATAGACTAGACTATAGACTAGACTATAGACTAGACTATAGACTAGACTATAGACTAGACTATAGACTAGACTATAGACTAGACTATAGACTAGACTATAGACTAGACTATAGACTAGACTATAGACTAGACTATAGACTAGACTATAGACTAGACTATAGACTAGACTATAGACTAGACTATAGACTAGACTATAGACTAGACTATAGACTAGACTATAGACTAGACTATAGACTAGACTATAGACTAGACTATAGACTAGACTATAGACTAGACTATAGACTAGACTATAGACTAGACTATAGACTAGACTATAGACTAGACTATAGACTAGACTATAGACTAGACTATAGACTAGACTATAGACTAGACTATAGACTAGACTATAGACTAGACTATAGCTAGACTATAGACTAGACTATAGACTAGACTATAGACTAGACTATAGACTAGACTATAGACTAGACTATAGACTAGACTATAGACTAGACTATAGACTAGACTATAGACTAGACTATAGACTAGACTATAGACTAGACTATAGACTAGACTATAGACTAGACTAGACTAGACTAAGACTAATAGACTAGACTATAGACTAGACTATAGACTAGACTATAGACTAGACTATAGACTAGACTATAGACTAGACTATAGACTAGACTATAGACAGACTATAGACTAGACTATAGACTAGACTATAGACTAGACTATAGACTAGACTATAGACTAGACTATAGACTAGACTATAGACTAGACTATAGACTAGACTATAGACTAGACTATAGACTAGACTATAGACTAGACTATAGACTAGACTATAGACTAGACTATAGACTAGACTATAGACTAGACTATAGACTAGACTAGCTAGACTATAGACTAGACTATAGACTAGACTATAGACTAGACTATAGCCTAGACTATAGACTAGACTATATACTACACTATAGACTACACTATAGACTAGACTATAGACTAGACTATAGACTAGACTATAGACTAGACTATAAAAATGTATAATCGTACGATTACAAAACCAGTGTTATTACCACACTTCTTAAATTGTTTTCTAAAGTGAAGTGTGCATAAGATTCGTAGCGTCCGTAAAGCTCATTCATTTATTTCATATTTTTTAATGAATATTAATTTAAATTTTAAAAATTTAATTCATTTATTAACACAACATACATGCGTAAAAATTTGTATAAATCCCAACACTGACAAGCAAAACATTTGTATCATAAAACGCAATCTTTATGTATAGACACGTTAATTATTATAATTTTGTTGAAAAAAAAAACAAAAAAAAATAAATTTCAGCTGCAGCAAGCATGTCATTAAATCTCATGTAATTACAATAAATTACAATTATTACATTATTTTAAATTCATATAAAAAGTAGTGACTATTTTAAACTTAATTAAAACAAATATAGGACACACACACTCCCGCATACACTTTGCCATAATTAAAAATGTTTGTTATACTTTAATGTTATACCTTTAATCCTTTAACTATTGAAAAGTTGAAGTAATTATTTAAACATTTATTCAAACAAACTTTACACACTCCCTTTGAATTTCATAAACTAATTTGTTCAAGTTATTAAATTTCCTCTCGCTCTTTCTACAAACATAGTCTTGACGCTTTTGTTTTTGCCTTTTATTTACTTTTAGGAACGCATGGTGCAAATCACGCGTCAAAAGCAGGGAGGCCTGGGTCTGAGTATAAAAGGTGGTGCCGAACACAAGTTGCCCATATTAATCTCACGCATTTATAAGGATCAAGCAGCTGACATTACGGGACAATTGTTTGTGGGTGATGCCATAATTAAAGTTAATGGTGAATATATAACAGCCTGCCCTCACGATGATGCTGTGAATATTTTGCGAAATGCTGGCGATATTGTTGTTTTAACGGTGAAACATTATCGTGCAGCAACGCCATTTCTACAGAAACAATGTAAGTTGCGAAAAATTTTAATGTGTGTGTATGTGTTGTGTATGTATAAATGTACTATTGTGTGTATATGCAGAACTTTAAATGAATAATTTGTTGTTATTAGAATTAGAGATGTGTTTGGAACAAGAAGTAGGAACTTACAATTGTTTAAGGAATAATGTAATCATCACTTAAGTATCCATGATATACTCTCTTTGGTTCAAAATTTGAAGTCAACCTGATCAGAAAATGTCAAGTCCGAAAAGAGTAGACTATATATGATAGACTAGAATATAGACTAGACTATATACTAAACTATAGACTAGACTAAAGACTAAACTAAAGGCTAAACTATATACTAAACTATAGATAAGACTAGACAATAGACTATAGACCAGACTATAGACTAGACTATAGACTAGACTATAGACTAGACTATAGACTAGACTATAGACTAGACTATAGACTAGACTATAGACTAGACTATAGACTAGACTATAGACTAGACTATAGACTAAACTATAGACTAGACTATAGACTAGACTATAGACTAGACTATAGACTAGACTATAGACTAGACTATAGACTAGACTATAGACCAAACTATAGACTAGACTATAGACTAGACTATAGACTAGACTATAGACTAGACTATAGACTAGACTGTAGACTAGACTATAGACTAGACTATAGACTAGACTAGACTAGACTATAGACTAGACTATAGACTAGACTATAGACTAGACTATAGACTAGACTATAGAATAGACTATAGACTAGACTATAGACTAGACTATAGACTAGACTATAGACTAGACTATAGACTAGACTATAGACTAGACTATAGACTAGACTATAGACTAGACTATAGACTAGACTATAGATAGACTATAGACTAGACTAGACTAGACTATAGACTAGACTATAGACTAGACTATAGACTAGACTATAGACTAGACTATAGACTAGACTATAGACTAGACTATAGACTAGACTATAGACTAGACTATAGACTAGACTATAGACTAGACTATAGACTAGACTATAGACTAGACTATAGACTAGACTATAGACTAGACTATAGACTAGACTATAGACTAGACTATAGACTAGACTATAGACTAGACTATAGACTAGACTATAGACTAGACTATAGACTAGACTATAGACTAGACTATAGACTAGACTATAGACTAGACTATAGACTACTAGACTATAGACTAACTATAGACTAGACTATAGACTAGACTATAGACTAGACTATAGACTAGACTATAGACTAGACTATAGACTAGACTATAGACTAGACTATAGACTAGACTATAGACTAGACTATAGACTAGACTATAGACTAGACTATAGACTAGACTATAGACTAGACTATAGACTAGACTATAGACTAGACTATAGACTAGACTATAGACTAGACTATAGACTAGACTATAGACTAGACTATAGACTAGACTATAGACTAGACTATAGACTAGACTATAGACTAGACTATAGACTAGACTATAGACTAGACTATAGACTAGACTATAGACTAGACTATAGACTAGACTATAGACTAGACTATAGACTAGACTATAGACTAGACTATAGACTAGACTATAGACTAGACTATAGACTAGACTATAGACTAGACTATAGACTAGACTATAGACTAGACTATAGACTAGACTATAGACTAGACTATAGACTAGACTATAGACTAGACTATAGACTAGACTATAGACTAGACTATAGACTAGACTATAGACTAGACTATAGACTAGACTATAGACTAGACTATAGACTAGACTATAGACTAGACTATAGACTAGACTATAGACTAGACTATAGACTAGACTATAGACTAGACTATAGACTAGACTATAGACTAGACTATAGACTAGACTATAGACTAGACTATAGACTAGACTATAGATAGACTAGACTAGACTAGACTATAGACTAGACTATAGACTTGACTAGACTACAGACTTGGCTAGACTATAGACATAGACTTGACTAGACTACAGACTTGACTAGACTAGACTACAGACTTGACTAGACTATAGACTCGACTAGACTAAAGACTCGACTAGACTAAAGACTCGACTAGACTATAGACTTGACTAGACTATAGACTTGACTAGACTATAGACTTGACTATAGACTATGGTAGACCTTTCGAGGAGCCTCATGAAAAATTCGGTTATAAATCGTTTGTCTCCATTACGTACAAGTTTAAAGCAAGAACTATTTAACAAACAATGGGATAAAGGGGCGTGGCATCTAATCATGATAGCCAAATATTATTTTTAAAAATGTTGCTATAATAATATAAAGCTATTATAATATAAAGCTATTATGAGTTTGAAGTCTTCACTCTTTTGAAGTTCCGCAGTTGTAATAGTAAGAAAATTTTATTAAATTCCGTTTCTTTAATATTTGCACAACAATTTGCCTTTAACGCCTTTCATTATGAAGCTTAAAAATTCAAGCAAAGTAATAAAAAAAATAGAAATAAATGAAAACAATTTGAATAAAATGAATGCCAAACAATTTCAAGGCCGAACAATTTGAAGTGATTTGAGAAAATGTTAATAGAAGTTAAATTATAAGAGATGTTTATGTTACTGTTATAAAGCCGTAATATTTAAATTAAATTATAACATAATAATTGTATAATAATTTAATAAATATGAAACACGCTGCTGATAGCCACTATTCCCAATTGGCCAAAGATCGTGAAGGCAACAACATATGAAAGTGAATACAGTAACACCGGAACTGTTAAAATAACTATAGAGGTTCCTTATAGGGTCCTAATATGAGTTGTAGATTCCTTTACGGTCTGATCTTCGCAGATATTTTGAGTGATTTGTATTGTTGAGAAACTTATTTATATCAAATTCTATATAAATACCTTTCGGTAACAAGTGTCTTATTATCATCTAAATTGTGACTCGTATGAGAACATTATTCCGAATCATGTGGTTATTTTAAAGTACTCGGCTTTATTCTGTTTTTCTAGCAAAAAAAAATAATTTTCACAAATTTTCAACATCAATTCTTTGGGAAAAATTACAAACTTACAAACATGCGTACCTAGACATAAGTATATGTAAATGTATATGCAAATTAAACAGAATATAAACAGCAAATTGACCAACAATCAATACAGTATCTATTGTATTCGAACTTGTTCACTTATATAAACTTATATACACTTTTTTGTCCTATGACATGTCAATGGGACCATTAAAACGTCAATGCAAGTTGTTCATCCTGCCATTTACTTATGCAAATATGGGAGAAAACATTTAACATCACAAAAAAGGAACAACAAAAAATTGGTATTTCATCCTGTATAAATTTATTTTTTTAAAGAATTTTGTTGTTATTTTAACTTTTTTCGAGTTTGAATTTTCATTTACATGAGAGAAACACTCAGCACTTGTGTTTTAATGTTATTTAATGTATAGCATATTAGGATGGTTCCAAAAAGTTTTTGAGCTCTTAGTTTAAATGAAAAATAATTATACGAATTATTCAAATAGTCTATGGACTTTTCTATTCATTAGTACTCAATACTCAAACTAAAAGAGTAGTCCCAAGAGTGACTCATACATTAGTCAATACACTAATAAATAGATTAGTCGATAGACTATTTGATCTCTCATATACATATAATAAACTACAGACTAGCTCATAGATTAATCAATCCATCCATAGACTAGACAATATCTAGAAATCAAGTGGCCATTACATAAAATTGTCAATCAAAAGACCTGTCCATTTAAAATGGATTAAATCGGTAAACTAGAACAATGAAATTTAATAATAGGTCCGTTCGTCCTACCATCAAAAAAAACCTCCTAAAGTTCGATCTATATTTTCCGTTATTCTACCAACTGTGAAAGTTTTATATTCAATTAAATATGTCTTACATATGTATGTATATGTACATGGTCATCCTAATGTACAATTCGTACATATGTAATGTCAATGCAAAAACAAATGTAATTTAATTCTTAATTATATGAAAAAGGGTACAAGTACTTAAGAGTACATTTACATTGGACTCTTTTGTCTTGATGCCATTACTTTAATTTAACTTATTTCTATACGTATAACAAAATTACTACATTCATCCCTGCAGTTCGCGGTGACTATTCCAAAATGTCACATAGATGATGTCACAAAATCATCCGAATTTCTTTGACTACAAATGAATTATACATTCTGTATCGATTATTTGTGGCGAGATGAATGTATAGTGAAAAGCGATTATCTATAGACTAGTCTATAGTCTAGTCAATAGTATAGTCTAGTCTAGTCAATAGTATAGTCTATAGTCAATAGTATAGTCTATAGTCAATAGTATAGTCTATAGTCTATAGTCAATAGTAGTCTATAGTCTATAGTCAATAGTATAGTCTATAGTCTATAGTATAGTCTAGTAGTCTAGTATAGTCTATAGTCTAGTCTATAGTCTAGTCTATAGTCTAGTCTATAGTCTAGTCTATAGTCTAGTCTATAATCTAGTCTATAGTCTAGTCTATAGTCTAGTCTATAGTCTAGTCTATAGTCTAGTCTATAGTCTAGTCTATAGTCTAGTCTATAGTCTAGTCTATAGTCTAGTCTATAGTCTAGTCTATAGTCTAGTCTATAGTCTAGTCTATAGTCTAGTCTATAGTCTAGTCTATAGTCTAGTCTATAGTCTAGTCTATAGTCTAGTCTATAGTCTAGTCTATAGTCTAGTCTATAGTCTAGTCTATAGTCTAGTCTATAGTCTAGTCTATAGTCTAGTCTATAGTCTAGTCTATAGTCTAGTCTATAGTCTAGTCTATAGTCTAGTCTATAGTCTAGTCTATAGTCTAGTCTATAGTCTAGTCTATAGTCTAGTCTATAGTCTAGTCTATAGTCTAGTCTATAGTCTAGTCTATAGTCTAGTCTATAGTCTAGTCTATATAGTCTAGTCTATAGTCTAGTCTATAGTCTAGTCTATAGTCTAGTCTAGTCTATAGTCTAGTCTATAGTCTAGTCTATAGTCTAGTCTATAGTCTAGTCTATAGTCTAGTCTATAGTCTAGTCTATAGTCTAGTCTATAGTCTAGTCTATAGTCTAGTCTATAGTCTAGTCTATAGTCTAGTCTATAGTCTAGTCTATAGTCTAGTCTATAGTCTAGTCTATAGTCTAGTCTATAGTCTAGTCTATAGTCTAGTCTATAGTCTAGTCTATAGTCTAGTCTATAGTCTAGTCTATAGTCTAGTCTATAGTCTAGTCTATAGTCTAGTCTATAGTCTAGTCTATAGTCTAGTCTATAGTCTAGTCTATAGTCTAGTCTATAGTCTAGTCTATAGTCTAGTCTATAGTCTAGTCTATAGTCTAGTCTATAGTCTAGTCTATAGTCTAGTCTATAGTCTAGTCTATAGTATCGTCTATAGTCTAGTCTATAGTCTAGTCTATAGTATCTATAGTCTAGTCTATAGTCTAGTCTATAGTCTAGTCTATAGTCTAGTCTATAGTCTAGTCTATAGTCTAGTCTATAGTCTAGTCTATAGTCTAGTCTATAGTCTAGTCTATAGTCTAGTCTATAGTCTAGTCTATAGTCTAGTCTATAGTCTAGTCTATAGTCTAGTCTATAGTCTAGTCTATAGTCTAGTCTATAGTCTAGTCTATAGTCTAGTCATAGTCTAGTCTATAGTCTAGTCTATAGTCTAGTCTATAGTCTAGTCTATAGTCTAGTCTATAGTCTAGTCTATAGTCTAGTCTATAGTCTAGTCTATAGTCTAGTCTATAGTCTAGTCTATAGTCTAGTCTATAGTCTAGTCTATAGTCTAGTCTATAGTCTAGTCTATAGTCTAGTCTATAGTCTAGTCTATAGTCTAGTCTATAGTCTAGTCTATAGTCTAGTCTATAGTCTAGTCTATAGTCTAGTCTATAGTCTAGTCTATAGTCTAGTCTATAGTCTAGTCTATAGTCTAGTCTATAGTCTAGTCTATAGTCTAGTCTATAGTCTAGTCTATAGTCTAGTCTATAGTCTAGTCTATAGTCTAGTCTATAGTCTAGTCTAGTCTAGTCTATAGTCTAGTCTATAGTCTAGTCTATAGTCTAGTCTATAGTCTAGTATAGTCTAGTCTATAGTCTAGTCTATAGTCTAGTCTATAGTCTAGTCTATAGTCTAGTCTATAGTCTAGTCTATAGTCTAGTCTATAGTCTAGTCTATAGTCTAGTCTATAGTCTAGTCTATAGTCTAGTCTATAGTCTAGTCTATAGTCTAGTCTATAGTCTAGTCTATAGTCTAGTCTATAGTCTAGTCTATAGTCTAGTCTATAGTCTAGTCTATAGTCTAGTCTATAGTCTAGTCTATAGTCTAGTCTATAGTCTAGTCTATAGTCTAGTATAGTCTAGATAGTCTAGTCTATAGTCTAGTCTATAGTCTAGTCTATAGTCTAGTCTATAGTCTATAGTCTAGTCTATAGTCTAGTCTATAGTCTAGTCTATAGTCTAGTCTATAGTCTAGTCTATAGTCTAGTATAGTCTAGTCTATAGTCTAGTCTATAGTCTAGTCTATAGTCTAGTCTATAGTCTAGTCTATGGTCTAGTCTATAGTCTAGTCTATAGTCTAGTCTATAGTCTAGTCTATAGTCTAGTCTATAGTCTAGTCTATAGTCTAGTCTATAGTCTAGTCATAGTCTAGTCTATAGTTTCGGTCTATAGTCTAGTCTATAGTCTAGTCTATAGTCTAGTCTATGTCTAGTCTATAGTCTCGTCTATCGTCTAGTCTATAGTCTAGTCTATAGTCTAGTCTATAGTCTAGTCTATAGTCTAGTCTATAGTCTAGTCTATAGTCTAGTCTATAGTCTAGTCTATAGTCTAGTCTATAGTCTAGTCTATAGTCTAGTCTATAGTCTAGTCTATAGTCTAGTCTATAGTCTAGTCTATAGTCTAGTCTATAGTCTAGTCTATAGTCTAGTCTATAGTCTAGTCTATAGTCTAGTCTAGTCATAGTCTAGTCTATAGTCTAGTCTATGGTCTAGTCTATAGTCTAGTCCTATAGTCTAGTCTATAGTCTAGTCTAATAGTCCTAGGTCTATAGTCTAGTCTATAGTCTAGTCTATAGTCAGTCTAGTCTAGTCTATAGTCTAGTCTATAGTCTAGTCTATAGTCTGTCTATAGTCTAGTCTATAGTATAGTCTATAGTCTAAGTCTATAGTCCTAGTCTATAGTCTAGTCTATAGTCTAGTCTATAGTCTAGTCTATAGTTCTAGTCTATAGTCTAGTCCTATAGTCTAGTCTATAGTCTATAGTCTAGTCTATAGTCTAGTCTATAGTCTAGTCTATAGTCTAGTCTATAGTCTAGTCTATAGTCTAGTCTAGTCTATAGTCTAGTCTAGTCTATAGTCTAGTCTATAGTCTATGTCTAGTCTAGTCTAGTCTATAGTCTAGTCTAGTCTATAGTCTAGTCTATAGTCTAGTCTAGTCTATAGTCTAGTCTATAGTCTTGTCTATAGTCTAGTCTAGTCTAGTCTATAGTCTAGTCTATAGTCTATAGTCTAGTCTATAGTATAGTCTAGTCTATAGTCTAGTCTATAGTATAGTCTAGTCTATAGTCTAGTCTATAGTCTAGTCTCTAGTCTAGTCTATAGTCTAGTCTATAGTCTAGTCTATAGTCTAGTCTATAGTCTAGTCTATAGTATAGTCTATAGTCTAGTCTATAGTCTAGTCTATAGTCTGGTCTATAGTCTAGTCTAGTCTAGTCTATAGTCTAGTCTATAGTCTAGTCTATAGTCTAGTCTAAAGTCTAGTCTATAGTATAGTCTATCGTCTAGTCTATAGTCTAGTCTATAGTCTAGTCTATAGTCTAGTCTATAGTCTAGTCTATAGTCTAGTCTATAGTCTAGTCTATAGTCTAGTCTATAGTCTAGTCTATAGTCTAGTCTATAGTCTAGTCTATAGTCTAGTCTATAGTCTCGTCTATAGTCTAGTCTATAGTCTAGTCTATAGTCTAGTCTATAGTCTAGTCTATAGTCTAGTCTATAGTCTAGTCTATAGTCTAGTCTATAGTCTAGTCTATAGTCTAGTCTATAGTCTAGTCTATAGTCTAGTCTATAGTCTAGTCTATAGTCTAGTCTATAGTCTAGTCTATAGTCTAGTCTATAGTCTAGTCTATAGTTAGTCTATAGTCTAGTCTATAGTCTAGTCTATAGTCTAGTCTATAGTCTAGTCTATAGTCTAGTCTATAGTCTAGTCTATAGTCTAGTCTATAGTCTAGTCTATAGTCTAGTCTATAGTCTAGTCTATAGTCTAGTCTATAGTCTAGTCTATAGTCTAGTCTATAGTCTAGTCTATAGTCTAGTCTATAGTCTAGTCTATAGTCTAGTCTATAGTCTAGTCTATAGTCTAGTCTATAGTCTAGTCTATAGTCTAGTCTATAGTCTAGTCTATAGTCTAGTCTATAGTCTAGTCTATAGTCTAGTCTATAGTCTAGTCTATAGTCTAGTCTATAGTCTAGTCTATAGTCTAGTCTATAGTCTAGTCTATAGTCTAGTCTATTGTCTAGTCTATTGTCTAGTCTATAGTCTAGTTTACAGTCTATTTTATAGTCTAGTCTAGTTTACAGTCTATTTATAGTCTAGTCTTGTTTATAGTCTAGTCTATAGACTAAACGCCATAGTTATTTATTTATCGATTAACTATTATATTAGCTAGCCTATGTACTAGTATTTTTACTAGTATTTTGACTTGTCAATGGAGTAGTCTCCAGACTATTCCCAAGTTTTGAAAAAGGGACAATAGTACTGAAGTTTTTGTTCTCGCTCAAAAAGTCTAGTCAAGTATTGGTTAGACATTTTGTCTCTAAAAGGGAAATATTTACTACTTGCAAAACTGTTAGGATACCTTTATATACATACAAACATTCCTATAGATAAATATATGCCACATAATGTATGAGTCTTGTTATATACATATGTATGTAAAGTGCCAGACTGCACACAAAACCCCATATGTAGTAAATGTATGTTTGTATATAATGTTATTTATTTAACATTTATTTCCTCATATTGTTTTTGTCTCAACATATTAAAACGAGTATACTACACAAACATCTACTATTTTATACATACATTTATAAGTTTTTACTTTGTTTTTCTCTCTTTTATTTTCATGTGTTTTTTTTCCTTCAACTTTCTCCTTATTAAGTGGCAAAAGATACACCAGACTCGGATAATGATACAACATGTGCTGAACTAAAGGCTGACGAAGGATATAAATCCTCAGTGAATAATGGTACCATAAGCCGTAGTTGTAGTAGACCAATGTCAATTTGTTCAGAACCAGAAAAGAAATGGGTTTGATGTTGTGGCAGGTAAGTTAAAGCACGAAAAAATTAATAATAACAAAAACAACAATACAATAAAGAACGGAGACAAAAGGAAATGTTTGAAATAAAGACAGGAAGTTGAAAGCAGGGGAAAAGAATAATGAATTAAATTGCAATGTAGACATTAAAATGTACTTAAAAGAGTACATGAATATAAAATTTAAACTGGTTAATTTTTTTTATAAGGATCGCTTAATTTAAGTGGATTTTTATTATTTTTTAAGAAAATAGTAATGAAAATGAATATCAAAGAAATATATTTTTAAGAACATTTATTTCACATTTATATTGTATAGAATAAATCTGAAGCGTTCGAAATAGAATTTTGTAATATATCCGCGAAAATTTTTTGAATATTCTATCAAAAAATTTGTAAAAATTTTTTAAATGTAAACGTAGTGAATGATAAACATATATTCTTAATAATTTTCTGTTTCCTGTTTAGTACCTCTAATGATGGCTTACGTGACACGTTACATTTATGGTACCGATAAATTAAGACAAATGCTTTTGAAGTTCGAGGAATAAATGGAACCTCCACCGGCATTATACACTGTGATGATTTGGCAATTTTGAGTCAATGGTTGAAATTAATTAACGACAATGTTGTGGGTTTTAACACATTTACAGGTAAGTTTTGTTACATACATATATGACATGTTTTTCTTTCATATTTAAAGAAAATATCGGAATTTAAAATGATTTCTTTAAATTATAATGGTTAGTTAGTTAGTTAGTTAGTTAGTTAGTAGTTAGTTAGTTAGTTAGTTAGCTAGTTAGTTAGTTAGTTAGTTAGTTAGTTAGTTAGTTAGTTAGTTAGTTAGTTAGTTAGTTAGTTAGTTAGTTAGTTAGTTCGTTAGTTAGTTAGTTAGTTAGTTAGTTAGTTAGTTAGTTAGTTAGTTAGTTAGTTTAGTTAGTTAGTTAGTTAGTCTAGTTAGTTAGTTAGTTAGTTAGTTAGTAGTTAGTTAGTTAGTTAGTTAGTTAGTTAGTAGTTAGTTAGTTAGTTAGTTAGTTAGTTAGTTAGTTAGTTAAGTTAGTTAGTTAGTTAGTTAGTTAGTTAGTTAGTTATTAGTTAGTTAGTTAGTTAGTTAGTTAGTTAGTTATAGTTAGTTAGTTAGTTAGTAGTAGTTAGTTAGTAGTTAGTTAGTTAGTTAGTTAGTTAGTTAGTTAGTTAGGTAGTTAGTTAGTTAGTAGTTAGTTAGTTAGTTAGTTAGTTAGTTAGTTAGTTAGTTAGTTAGTAGTTAGTTTAGTTAGTTAGTTAGTTAGTTAGTTAGTTAGTTAGTTAGTTAGTTAGTTAGTTAGTTAGTTAGTAGTTAGTAGTTAGTTAGTTAGTTAGTTAGTTAGTTAGTTAGTTAGTTAGTTAGTTAGTTAGTTAGTTAGTTATTAGTTAGTTAGTTAGTTAGTTAGGTTAGTTAGTAGTTAGTTAGTTAGTTAGTTAGTTAGTTAGTTAGTTAGTAGTTAGTTAGTTAGTTAGTTAGTTAGTTAGTTAGTTAGTTAGTTAGTTAGTTAGTAGTTAGTTAGTAGTTAGTTAGTTAGTTAGTGTTAGTTAGTTAGTTAGTTAGTTAGTTAGTTAGTTAGTTAGTTAGTTAGTTAGTTAGTTAGTTAGTTAGTTAGTTAGTTAGTTAGTAGTTAGTTAGTTAGTTAGTTAGTTAGTTAGTAGTTAGTTAGTTAGTTAGTTTAGTTAGTTAGTTAGTAGTTAGTTAGTTAGTTAGTTAGTTAGTTAGTTAGTTAGTTAGTTAGTTAGTTAGTTAGTTAGTTAGTTAGTTAGTTAGTTAGTTAGTTAGTTAGTTAGTAGTTAGTAGTTAGTTAGTTAGTTAGTAGTTAGTTAGTTAGTTAGTTAGTTAGTTAGTTAGTTAGTTAGTTAGTTAGTTAGTTAGTTAGTTAGTTAGTTAGTTAGTTAGTTAGTTAGTTAGTTAGTTAGTTAGTTAGTTAGTTAGTTAGTTAGTTAGTTAGTTAGTAGTTAGTTAGTTAGTTAGTTAGTTAGTTAGTTAGTAGTTAGTTAGTTAGTTAGTTAGTTAGTTAGTTAGTTAGTTAGTTAGTTAGTTAGTTAGTTAGTTAGTTAGTTAGTTAGTTCGTAGTTAGTTAGTTAGTTAGTAGTTAGTTAGTTAGTAGTTAGTTAGTTAGTTAGTAGTTAGTTAGTTAGTTAGTTAGTTAGTTAGTTAGTTAGTAGTTAGTTAGTTAGTTAGTTAGTTAGTTAGTTAGTTAGTTAGTAGTTAGTTAGTTAGTTAGTTAGTAGTTAGTTAGTTAGTAGTTAGTTAGTTAGTAGTTAGTTAGTTAGTTAGTTAGTTCGTTAGTTAGTTAGTTAGTTAGTAGTTAGTTAGTTAGTTAGTAGTTAGTTAGTTAGTTAGTTAGTTAGTAGTTAGTTAGTTAGTTAGTTAGTTAGTTAGTTAGTTAGTTAGTTAGTAGTTAGTTAGTTAGTTAGTTAGTGTTAGTTAGTTAGTAGTTAGTAGTTAGTTAGTTAGTTAGTTAGTTAGTAGTTAGTTAGTTTAGTTAGTAGTTAGTTAGTTAGTTAGTTAGTTAGTTAGTTAGTAGTTAGTTAGTAGTTAGTAGTTAGTTAGTTAGTTAGTAGTTAGTTAGTTCGTAGTTAGTTAGTTATGTAGTAGTTAGTTAGTTAGTTAGTTAGTTAGTTTAGTTAGTTAGTTAGTTAGTTCGTTAGTTAGTTAGTTAGTTAGTTAGTTAGTTAATTAGTTAGTTAGTAGTTAGTTAGTTAGTTAGTCTATGGACTACTCAATTGTGTTGTATAATAACTAGTCTACGATCTGCCTATTGACCGGTATTTTGAGGAGTTTTTGGCTTAGTATAATTTACTAGTCTTGGTCTTTGGACTAGTCTATTGCTTGGTCTTTGGACTGCCCATCAACCAATTTTTAAAACATAAAAAATAATTTTACTGCTAACAACAACATACATATTTACTGAAAAAAAAAATAGGGTCAGAAATTACATCAAAATTGCAAATGAATTACTCCGTTTATTTATATTTTTAACAAAAAAATCAAAACAAACTTTTTAAAAAAAGTATTAACTAAAAGTGTTGATTATACAGAGCTTTTCTGTTGACTGTTGACTAAAAAAGTTTTCATACAACCATGTTGAAAGGTTAACTCCGCACAACTAATATATTTTTCAAAAATCTATAGAAGATACATTATACATATATCCATTAGCAGTAACATTAGCTCATGTACAAAAAAGGAATTTAGTTACATAGTGTCAACATTTCACCATCGATGTGTGAAAAACTCCATTTGTCAACAGAAATTCTCTGTATAATCAACATTTTTAGTTAATACTTTTTAAAATGTTTTTTTTTTTTTATACTTTTTTCCTCTCGTTAAATATACAAACAAACGGACTTATTAATTTACATTTGTGATGTTATTTCTGATGCTGCTGGTTCTGGTTGTTGTTGTTGGTATTACTGAAATACGAGCAAAATATAAAATTTGTAGTACAATAAAGCAATTTGTTTACAAATAAAATACATGCATGCAAATATTCATATTCTTCGCTTTATATCCTCTCATAGTCCAACATGATAAATGGCGAAAAACAAACTCATACGTACATATATATTAATCGAACAAAAGCTACAATTTCCCTGCAGTTTTGGTTGGGAAATACCCGGGTTAAGAAACGGCCGTACACAATTTTCATATATGTGTATAAAAACTTAAGTTATGTACCAGTTCCAGCCAATCCTTAGGGACTTATGATAGAAAATTTAAATTCAATTCAAAATCAGGGCACACTTCACATTTATATATAGAAGTCCAAACTCGGAAAGGTCGTTTCGATGCTTTCTGTTTCCATATTGAAGATAGTTAACTGATCAGTGAAACTGCTGTTGTTGGTGATTTCATTGTCCACAACTCTTCTTGGCATAACAGTTCTATATATAGTTATAGTGAATGACCCTAAATAGAACACCAACATATTACATTCGACCTTTTTCGTACTTGCACCTCTCGGTAATTCGGATAACAGTGTGATGTTCATTGGACATTCAAGTATCTCCGTTTTCTGAAACGGTTCAAGACATGCTTCATTCCATCTTACCTCCTTATCTACACCACTTATATCTGACTTCAAATGGAATGCAACTTTCGACTGCGTTCAGGAGAGGGGACGAAAGTACTTATCGGTGACAGATATTACAATAGAATGGATTCTTTTGAAATTAGACAACCCTTATATTTATATGTAAAATATGTCATTCAGCAAGAGCACATTCATTGACCAGTGAATCGCATAATGCATTACAGAGAGAATTCGTTCTAGAAATCTTTCCTTTCACTCTATTCTCGCATAAAACTATTTTCCTAGTTCTGCAAGAGTATGGATCATCCCCTAAGTACTGATACAAGAAAGAAATACTTAGAAACTTTAGTCAGTCAGACATTCAATTCGTTGTTAAGGGATACATTGACTATATATTACTGGAACGTATATTTTGCATACCTTGTTATTGAACATAGCACAGCATACCGACAATCTTAAAAACATTCTGTCCCACATAAACCATTGTTCTGTTTTTATACCCTACACCACTTCAGTAGGGAGGGTATATTGGGTTTGTGCTGATGTTTATAACGCCCAATAATATTGGTCCTATACCCACCTTAAAGTATACTAATCGGCTCATCATCAATCATTTTCTGAGTCGATTTAGCTATGTCCGTCCGTCTGTCCGTCTGTCTGTCTGTCTGTCTGTCTGTCCGTCTGTCCGTCTGTCTGTCCGTCCATGTAAACTTTGTAATCAAACTACAGGTCGCAATTTTGAAGATAATTCAATGAAATTTGGTACATGATCTTCTATTGTCCCAGGGACGAAGCCTATTGAAAATGGTTAGATCGTTCACCTAACCCCCATACAACTGAACCCCCCAATAGGACTTGTAAAACTTGTAATCAAACTACAAGTTGCAATTTTGGAGATAATTCAATTAAATTTGGCACATGATCTTTTATAGTACCGTAGACGAAACCTATTGAAAATGGTTAACATCGGTCCATTATTTCACCTAGCCCCCATACAACTGAACCCCCCGAATAGGGCTTTTAAACTTTGTAATCAAACTACAGGTCGCAATTTTGGAGATAATTCAAAGAAATTTGGCACATGATCTTTTATGGTACCGTAGACAAAGTCTATTAAAAATGGTTAACATCGGTCCATTATTTCACCTAGCCCCCATACAACTGAACCCCCGAATAGAACTTTTAAACTTTGTAATCAAACTACAGGTCGCAATTTTGGAGATAATTCAAAGAAATTTGGCACATGATCTTTTATGGTACCGTAGACAAAAGTCTATTAAAAATGGTTAACATCGGTCCATTATTTCACCTAGCCCCCATACAACTGAACCCCCGAATAGAACTTTTAAACTTTGTAATCAAACTACAGGTCGCAATTTTGGAGATAATTCAATGAAATTTGGCACATGATCTTTTATGGTACCGTAAACGAAGCCAGTTGAAAATGGTTTACATCGATCCATTATTTCACCTAGCCCCCATACAACTGAACCCGCCGAATAGGGATTTTAAGTTCATAATTATGTTTAATATACTCATATCTCGAAAAAGAGCTGCAAAAAACAAGTTCTATACAAGATTTGATGACGCTCACGAATTCCATAATAATAGGTCCTCATATGACCCTAGCCCCTATGAAAAGCCCCCATCAAAATTTCACTTAAATGTCCACAATTTTATTCAACAATAAACGGCTTAAGTATGTATATCTGAGGCAAGGTAAAATTCAATTTAAATGCTTTATTATGGCAAATAAATCACATTATATTTTTGTCAAAGGTGTAGGGTGTTACATGGTCGGCCTCGCCCGACTATAATTTCTTACTTGTTTACCAATTAAAATAGATTACATCGCTAATACTGTGGCACGAATCTATCAATTTTTAACTTTACAAATCTTTAAGAAAAAATCTACAGTTTGTAAAAATTTCAACACACTTCACAACAGGGAAACCACATTCTCGTTCCTAAACGATAACAGAAGACAACAAAGTTTAAAAAAAAATCGAACCTCAAAGACCGAAATAAAGGCTTGAGATGCCTCTTTACTCTAAAGCTTTAGTACTTTTATTTAAGACAGACATTTTCAACTTTCTGTGACACTGTCAACTATAGTACAAACAGCTAACAAATTTGAATAAAAAAAAATCCCCTTTAAGTGTATATTTTTTCGGTTTAAAGGTAAAATAACAATAACAAGAGCAAAACAAAATAAAACTGCCATGTTAAAGCTCTTAATGTATGTCAGTGGACAACAGCAGGATGTAAATTTATGGACCTATTTTGTTCGCCATAAACAAGAGTATATTTTTTACTAAGAGCTTTTTCCATTTAAGATTACCTTATAAAAGTTTTTGTTTTTCGAAGTTCATAAGAATTTAAAATCGGAGACAAAAAGCATGGAAACCAGTAGAAACAACACAGAAGAGTTCTAAGAGCTTTTAAGAAATTTTGCCAGTGAAAGACTTCTTTAACACTAAAGAATGTATAAGTTCTCTGAAATGATTTTTTGTCCAATATAAGTTAAGAAACCAAATATTTAACTAAATTGTTAAAATATTGAGAAATTAACAAAAAAAAATATATAATTTTGAAAAAATATTAAATAAACATTTCGTTATTTATTTTATTAGTTTATGTTTGAAATATGTATGTTTTTATTTATTCATAAATATCTGAAATATATAAAAATTTTTAAATTTATGTATGAATTTTATTTCACTTTTGTGACTTTGCATTTTTATATTTTGCATTTCTTTCTTTTTTTTTTTTTTGTAGATGAAACTTTACAATCGTAATTTTGCTGTTGGCGAACGCATTGAATACATGGGTTGGGTAAACGAGGGCGTCATCAATAATAATATTTCATGGCAGAGCTATAAACCACGATTTTTAGTATTAAAAGGCACCGAAGTGATGCTTTTCGAAACACCACCGGTAAGTTAAATACACACAAACAACCAATAGGTTTTTATTAATATTTGAAATATTCCTACGTTTAAAACAACCACTTGCAGTCAATTGAAATGTGAAATATTTTTGAAAACTATTTTTTTCGTTGATATTTAAAATTTATATTGATAAATAAATTGTTAACCAAATATTTTTCAAGGGGAATTTAATAGTTATGAAATAAAATAAGGGGAAATGATTTTAAAATGTTATACATAAAACTTATTCATAACTATTTATCAATATTTATAAAAAAATTTTCATAAAAAGTCTAGTCTATAGTCTAGTCTATAGTCTAGTCTATAGTCTAGTCTATAGTCTAGTCTATAGTCTAGTCTATAGTCTAGTCTATAGTCTAGTCTATAGTCTAGTCTATAGTCTAGTCTATAGTCTAGTCTATAGTCTAGTCTATAGTCTAGTCTATAGTCTAGTCTATAGTCTAGTCTATAGTCTAGTCTATAGTCTAGTCTATAGTCTAGTCTATAGTCTATCTATAGTCTAGTCTATAGTCTAGTCTATAGTCTAGTCTATAGTCTAGTCTATAGTCTAGTCTATAGTCTAGTCTATAGTCTAGCCTATAGTCTAGTCTATAGTCTAGTCTATAGTCTAGTCTATAGTCTAGTCTATAGTCTAGTCTATAGTCTAGTCTATAGTCTAGTCTATAGTCTAGTCTATAGTCTAGTCTATAGTCTAGTCTATAGTCTAGTCTATATCTAGTCTATAGTCTAGTCTATAGTCTAGTCTATAGTCTAGTCTATAGTCTAGTCTATAGTCTAGTCTATAGTCTAGTCTATAGTCTAGTCTATAGTCTAGTCTATAGTCTAGTCTATAGTCTAGTCTATAGTCTAGTCTATAGTCTAGTCTATAGTCTAGTCTATAGTCTAGTCTATAGTCTAGTCTATAGTCTAGTCTATAGTCTATCTATAGTCTAGTCTATAGTCCTAGTCTATAGTCTAGTCTATAGTCTAGTCTATAGTCTAGTCTATAGTCTAGTCTAGTCTAGTCTATAGTCCGTCATAGTCTAGTCTATAGTCTAGTCTATAGTCTAGTCTATAGTCTAGTCCATAGTCTAGTCTATAGTCCAGTCTATAGTCTAGTCTATAGTCTAGTCTATAGTCTAGTCTATATCTAGTCTATAGTCTAGTCTATAGTCTAGTCTATAGTCTGGCCTATAGTCTAGTCTATAGTCTAGTCTATAGTCTAGTCTATAGTCTGGCCTATAGTCTAGTCTATAGTCTAGTCTATAGTCTAGTCTATAGTCTGTCTATAGTCTAGTCTATAGTCTAGTCTATAGTCTAGTCTATAGTCTAGTCTATAGTCTAGTCTATAGTCTAGTCTATAGTCTAGTCTCTAGTCTAGTCTATAGTCTAGTCTATAGTCTAGTCTATAGTCTAGTCTATAGTCTAGTCTATAGTCTAGTCTATAGTCTAGTCTATAGTCTAGTCTATAGTCTAGTCTATAGTCTAGTCTATAGTCTAGTCTATAGTCTAGTCTATAGTCTAGGTCTATAGTCCTAGTCTATAGTCTAGTCTATAGTCTAGTCTATAGTCTAGTTATAGTATAGTCTATAGGTCTAGTCTTATAGTCTAGTCTATAGTCTAGTCTATAGTCTAGTCTATAGTCTAGTCTATAGTCTAGTCTTAGTCTGTCTATAGTTCTAGTCTATATAGTCTAGTCTATAGTCTAGTCTATAGTCTAGTCTATATCTAGTCTATAGTCTAGTCTATAGTCTAGTCTATAGTCTAGTCTAGTAGTATAGTCTAGTCTATAGTCTAGTCTATAGTCTAGTCTATAGTCTAGTCATAGTCTAGTCTATAGTCTAGTCTATAGTCTAGTCTATAGTCTAGTCTATAGTCTGGTCTATAGTCTAGTCTATAGTCTAGTCTATAGTCTAGTCTATAGTCTAGTCTATAGTCTAGTCTATAGTCTAGTCTATAGTCCAGTCTATAGTCTAGTCTATAGTCTAGTCTATAGTCCAGTCTATAGTCTAGTCTATAGTCTAGTCTATAGTCTAGTCTATAGTCTAGTCCATAGTCTAGTCTATAGTCTAGTCTATAGTCTAGTCTATAGTCTAGTCTATAGTCTAGTATGTAGCCTAGTCTATAGTCTAGTCTATAGTCTAGTCTATAGTCTGGTCTATAGTCTAGTCTATAGTCTAGTCTATAGTCTAGTCTATATCTAATCTATAGTCTAGTCTATAGTCTAGTCTATAGTCTAGTCTATAGTCTAGTCTATAGTCTAGTCTATAGTCTAGTCTATAGTCTAGTCTATAGTCTAGTCTAGTCTAGTCTAGTCTATAGTCTAGTCTAGTCTATAGTCTAGTTATAGTCTAGTCTATAGTCTAGTCTATAGTCTAGTCTATAGTCTAGTCTATAGTCTATAGTCTAGTATAGTCTAGTCTATAGTCTAATCTATCGTCTAGTCTATAGTCTAGTCTATAGTCTAGTCTATAGTCTAGTCTATAGTCTAGTCTATAGTCTAGTCTATAGTCTAGTCTATAGTCTAGTCTATAGTCTAGTCTATAGTCTAGTCTATAGTCTAGTCTAGACTATAGTCTAGTCATGTAGCCTAGTCTATAGTCTAGTCTATAGTCTGTCATTTGGAAGATTGGTTTATTAAGAATTCTGCTTCAGTCTCACTAAATTACATATACATACATAGATACATATTTATTGCTTTAAAGTTTACCACACTCTGCGTATACGTAATACTTGTTGTATTCATCATATAATTATTAAGTATACGCAACCGTTTACATTCACTTAGTAAAAAGTTTTTTTTTTTTTTTTTTGCTAAAAACAAAGAACTTAGTAAAAACTTCATAGCATCAAAACCTTGTCATATATCGGTATTAATATGAACATCAGAGAGATTTTCGGAAGAGTTTACATTATGTTGACTTAGAAATAATAACAAATAATAACAAATCAAGTTTGTTAAATTTTTCATAACAAATTTTATTTTTAAACAATTTATTGACAATAGAAAGATATTTTGTAGGGCAATGTTCAATTATGGTGAGTTATGCATCGGACCTTATGAAATTTATTAGAGAGATTGTGTTGCAATCTCAAAAGAACTTAGAATGTATATACTTTTCTAATATATATAAATATTTTGAAACTTAGCTAAAAAATTGTCTTCCGCAATTTCTTTCGAAATTGTAATAACTCAAACAAAGTTAACCAGTTATTAAGCTTACTTTCAAATATCAGTAAAATTACTAGCTATGAGGTTTAAAAAAAATAGTTTTAAAAAATTCCAAACAGTTATTTCAGTGTGAAAAACTAACATCTTTGTTGCCTTTAAATAAACGGGCCACTAGGCTGTGTGTGCAGTCTAATTGCCATAACATCGACGGAAATTATTGTCATATATTCATTTGCCATTTGTACATTTTATGGGGAAATTGATTCTACATATATGTTAACATCTGTATTCTACAGCATTATTTGGCATTACAGTTGAACAGTGTTAAAATGAATTCGTCATAGAGCGAAGGCTTTTTCTAAACTATTTTTATGTTAAATTTTTTTGCAAAATGTGATTTTCACAATAAACTGAGTTATGTAGAACAATTTACAAAAAAAAAAAGATCAATAAACATTTTATTGTAAATACAGTATAGTCAAATTGGGACGATTTCATTTTAGCCATACTCATTTGTAGTTCATGCCACAAAAATTGGCTGGCAATTACCTTTGAATTCGCAAACTAATACATATACATTAGCATGGTCCCGTTTAATTGAAGTTCATTTTAATGGAATATTTCTTAATGTTTTTATACAAAAGGATATTTTTCAGTATAGATCCATTACACCAAAGTACTTTAAATTTTTCCTGTAAACATCAATAACTTTTGTTTTTAAAGCCACCCTAATACACACACATGCTACGCAATATTCAAATTCTTTTATGCAGCAATTTTTCTGAAATTGTAGGAAATTTTCATTTTTCATTTAATTGAATTTACATCATCTACTGCATGCTGAATATTAAAAAATATTTTCATATATTTAAAAAAAATTCCTCACAGGGAAAACATAACACCTTTATACATAACAAAAATTATTGGTTGAATAATTCGAGAAAAATAACGAATTAAAATCAGTTAACAAATGAAAAAAGGCAAAATTTTTATTAAATAATTTTTAATAAAAAATACACCTTCAAATACGTTACAATATGCAAGTAAACATGAAATTATTATGAAAATCATAAATATTGGAAATAAAAATAATATTTAAATTTAAATTACAAAATAAAGGTAATGTTTACATATGACAAGTTAAAATTATAATAAAATATCAATGTTTCTGTCAAACTACTCAGCAAATTGATTGATTTTATAATTTTGCAATGCAACTACAAATATAAATTATTTAAAGTGTGTAAAATATATACTGCTATCCTACATATACATATATACATATGTATACATTTCCAAAACCAACCATATAGTAATACTCTTCAGTAGAGAGTCTCCATTAAATTTGTTACATGTGGAAATGTTCAAAAATGGTCTCATCAATATTGAATCCTAGCAGGAACACATTATTTCAATGCAGTGATGCTACTGGAGGCAAATACTTACCATATTCGCTTACAAATAACTACTTAAATTAGTACTTATAAATAAGGAGTTAAAAAGTTAAAGTTGTTTAACTCACAAAAAATTGCTGACACAGAATACGAATCCAATATATCTAATTCGCAAAACTTCCGAGCTAAGTTATCGTCTGTTTAATTCATTCAAATAGTAAAGTATCTTTTTCGAAAAGTGAACTCATACCACTTTCAAAATTAATGGTTTCTATATTTCTGTATCTATATTTAATTTCTATTTATTTATATAGATACTTCACATACGTCTGTTTGTACAAACCTATTCATATATAACTGTCCATAAGAGATTGATAGAAATATGACAGTTTTAGACAAGTTCTATTTATACATACATACTTACATATATACACATAAGGA